ACCAAAACAATGCAGAGCTTTCAGACCTCAAACAATACAAATAAAACAAGTTCATATTCATTTAGAAACAACAATACTAATGTTTTAACTCAGGAAGAGTTGATCAATATTTTCAATGGGGTTTGGTGCAGTGGACTCTTGATATTTTCCAGAGCTGTATATTTTTTTTTATAAAAGTTGCATACTGCAGCTTTAACAGGCATCTCCAGCACTTGGTGGTTTGCAGAAGCTAATGCTAGCAATTTATTCAGGTGTGCTGGAGCAGAGATGCAGAGATGTGCAGGGCAGTGAAGCCTGAGGACCAGGATTGAGAAACACTGATTTAGGATGATCAGACTCTGAATATAAACATATGTATAACAGAATAAATACATGTCATTAAATTTGAATATAAAGCATTTTCTCCAGCATGCAAATCTGATCAGTTAAAGGTAACGTGATGCTGCTGAATGAGGAAATCACGTGCTCCTCTCACTCTAGTCTATTTTCAAATTCAAGCCCCATCTATTTGACTTATAGAGCCCCAAAGAGCCATAAAATACAAGATTACACCTATAAAAGATGGTGTGTGTGTGTGTGTGTGTGTGTGTGTGTGTGTGTGTGTGTGTGTGTGTGTGTGTGTGTGTTACATCCTCCAGGACTGCCAGCACTGAAAGCATTAATATTTTAGTGATGAGGTGGAACAAAGTGGCTGCTGGACTGGACTGTCATAACAGACTCGCTCAATCATTTAGATACAAGGCACACAGACGCTCGGTAACATGCGTGCCTGTGCTAAATGCGCTTACACATGTGACACAGACACACAGCTTGTGACTTGAGAGGAATCGTAGCTCCTATTAAAAATTGATTATCTGTCATAGTATCACTTTCCCCCAAGGTCAAGTTGCAATCTGTGAGTGTGCATGTGTGCAAAACGCAGGCTGGCGAGATTGAACGAGGGATAAAGCTCTCGGATAAAGAGTAGAGAAGAAGGAGGGAGAGATGAGATTTATGCTTCGTTTAGATTTAGGAGATGAGGAGCAGATCGGTTTCGAGGAGAACAAAAGACAAAAGGAAGCTTTTCCTCCTGGACATCAAAGTGTCTGCCAGCGTGTTGCTCGTCCTCCTGCAGGTGAGCTGAACAGTATGAACATCAGGTGTGACTGAGACCTGCAAATGAAGTGACAGCTTAGAGGAGGAGATGTGAACCCTGCGGCGAAACTGTGACATGCTCTTCTGTTTCACACCCAGGCGCGTGTTGGATGGGGCTGCAAGGTTTGACGACAGTATAGCGATGTTTCATGCCGCAAAAATATGATTAAGGCATCGTTTTAAGAAATGATCATTTCCTTAACCTGGCTCTCACTGACAGCTTACAAATGATGATTAGGTCCATTTTGATTTAGGTTAAAATTATTTTAAATAATTTTATCTTTCTTTAAAAAAGACCTTGCAAATGAATTCCTTTACTTGAGTAATGTACACAAACTTGAGATTTGACATTTACTTACTGACTTCCTTACATTTAAAATATCCCTGATGGAAAACAGCTTCTTTATACTGATTTTATTCATAGATTATGAATTATAAATGTAGGTAAATGTTTTCTATAAGTGTTGCGTTTGACTCCTAATCTCTGCGGTACCAAAACTGCTCACTTCTCAATCTGCTCTCAAAATTGTAATATTGTCGAATTTACTTCCCTGATGGCTTTTCTAACAGAGAATAAATGAAAAATGAATAAAAATCTCTGCTGTAAATATATGTAAATTACAGATGGCTTCCAAAGGGGTAATCCATACACAGATTAATTTTCTCAGCTCTCCTTCTGCAGCCAGTGGTTTAAGTGAAAGACTCCCAACGGGCTAATTGGATTAAATTAAGGTGGAGCTTACAGCAATATGCCAAGGCCTTATTGAATTAGAAGAGGTGTCTTTTAGATACACAAGTCTCGTAGATTCAAAGGGATTCGGGCTGCAGACCTGTGCGGGCTGGTTTGCCGCCAGCTTTGTGTGAAACGTCTCAATCTGTTTTCTGCAGTATTTTCCATCAGGGACAACACTAACCCACCATTACAGTCTCAGACAAGTTTCATGTGTTCCGTCGGTTGTATCGCTCACACGTCCAGCGGGAGCTTTGCCGCTTCCTTGACACTTCTCTATGTTCACTGTAATCCTACGAATTTGTGAGCATGCAGGCCAGAGTGGGAGAGTGCATGTGTGGAAGTAGTATTTCAGCAGGGAGCAGACCCCCTCTGCAGATGACATTTTTACTGGAGAAATGTCACTACAGCTGTTTTCTCCCCATATGTCTGCATGAGCGTGTGTGTCACTGTGACTGTGCGCTGAATAACTTTAACAATGCACAACGTCTTCGGTCTAAATCATAAAATGCTGCCCTGTCTTCATATACAACGACTGAATATTTGAATCATAGCTCAAAGGTTTCATTTTAAGAAATTAGAAACCCTATCCCAAATCTAAAAAAAGAAGTGTCGTACACCTGTTTTTAAGTTGTTTTCCCTAGAAGAAAATGTATGAATAAAAACAAATTTTACTGACATTTTTAATTTGTCCTGAGAAACAAACATTTTATAATAAATGAGCTTGCCATACAGTTAGCCACGACTCTTGACCCTTTGCCTGTAAAGCCTGTCAAAAAACAGATAAAAAAACATATGTGGTAGCATAATATTGCTTTTATGTAGTTAATTTGGCAGTGTAAGTGGTCGTAAGGTGCTGTGAGGTCGGCTGCACAAACAGACAAGGGTGAAAACCAAACTCTTCATTTTATCGTGCAACTTAACAAGAAAAACTGCGGCGATGATGGACAGCAGCCTTCAGTCTAACGCAGATTTACAGCAAACTCTTTTTACAAGATTAATGTTCATATAATTTATATGTAACTATATTTAGAAAGATAACAGCATTATGGCAAAGGTACCTGTCCACTGGTAACCATTGAGATAAATACCCCACCGTCATGTAGCCTAGCCGGTTAGCGTCTCGTCTTCTATTCGTTTTTAATGTTGCTCCAGTATAAACAAAATCAGCGTTTAGAACATAGTGACAAAAATCACGCGTTTTAATTTCTGCAGGGATCAGTCTGTGAGCTCGCCCTTTTGAGCTTCTGTAAATACCGCCGTCCATGACCCTCAGAGGTCTGTTACGCTCAAAGATAAATTAGCTCGACCCAACAAGCAGAAGCGACGAGTAAACAGACAAAAACAACTTGGGAAAACCACTTCAGTCGATCAGTTCAATACTCCTGTCCTTCATGGCGCCTCCAATGATTAAATGATGTAGTTGCAAAGGGTCAGTAACGGGTATTTTTTAATCAAATTAGAGAAACAAATTATTTAAATTAACTGAGATGTAGCCGTAATGAGAAAAGTAAAAGCCACGTATGATGTGAGGAGTTTTATTTGTCTTTATCACGTTTCTTCCAGCTGTATTACACAGTATGTGACGTGTGCGTATGTGTTGATGGCTGAATCATTTGTGATGTGCGTGAATATGCAATCTAGAAATGGTTTCCTTGACAACTGAGAGGACATCTGTCTCTCCATATGGAGAGAGACACTGAAACTCTGACAGGCAAAATGAAAGCTTTCTGTTGCAAAAAATTAAACAAGGAATTCAACACCACACATTGAATTGTAGTGATTTTAAAAGCAAATGCGTGGAAGGTAAATAGATCCTCAGTGAGTATAATTTAATTAAAATAGCAACAGTATTTATTTTACTGTCCACTGTATTTTTTTTTTTTATTCCAGTAGTCGTTCCACTTATTTCAGGGGCAGATAATGTTGCTTGAACACTGATGAGAATCATCATGAATCTTTTCTAAATATCGTCAGGATTTTCAGACCACACAGTTGTAACATTTTACTGCAACTCCTTACAAATGCAATTGAACAGAGAGATGGCTCTCGGTCTCGTCTGGTAGTTGATATGAACGGCACGCACATATTTCCTCTCGTACTTGACAAATTCCCTCAGAGCCAAATGGTTCCAACACATGGAGCTCAAACAACAGATGATCCACAAGCGCACGCATACAAAAACGGGATGCTTTTATCTACTTATTTTTAAAAATTCCTCTCTAGCGTTTCGATACGGAAACTTCCGCAGGAAGTTTGATTCTTTTTGTCAGACAGTCGCTCGTTTTCCAGGGGGCCACAAAGTCAGGGAGCCTCAAACGGTAGAGGGGGCCGGCACTAAAAACTCATTACATGGACGATCAATACTGCGCACACTTGAGAGCAGAGTGTGTGCCTGGTCCCCCAGCACACACACGCACACTCTCTCTCTCCCTCTTTCTTTCTTGTGCGTTTCATCACCCACTGGCGATGGTGACGGATGACTTTTGTCAGCCTGAAATGTGTTACCATGGCTACCATTAGGTTATATTTTGGTATCCTACAGCAGGGGAGGCCGACTGACACACACACACACACACACACACACGCACGCAAGCAAACACTCTTAAACTGGTGAAGGTCAGGATAAAATGCTACAACTCAGTATTTCAGCAAATTGCAGCACTATTTGGGCTTAAATAACTCTGAGAAAAGGATTTAAAAAAAACCCCAACAACAACCAAAGAGCAACAATTTCCCCCAAACTGATTCACTTTGAGTTTTGGAGTCGCTGATTCCTCAGTGATGATAGGCTAATTGTATTTGGCAGTAATGTCTAAATTCACATTTCCGTTTATTCTATTTTATATTACGAATGATCATTCAAGACTTTATTCATTTTTGCTTGGAATTTCAGAATTTCCGAGACATGTTGTCAGTAGATTATAATAAACTACATTTTACTCAAACATATACCAATAAAAAGTAAAATCAGAGAATATAATGACTTTAAGAGGTATCTTAATTTTTCTCAGAGCTGTATTTTTAATGTTTTTTTTCTCTATTTGATGACGGGTAATGTTTCATGTGTTGGATTCAACCTTTTCTGAATTTTAATGACAAAATAACGGCAGAGAAAGAGAAGCCATCTTGTTACCTTTCCAAGGCCGGGCGTGTCTTTGATCTTGTTTGCTGCTCGAAGAAGACAAGGTGGAGCAGGTGGAGGCATCGTCACCAAAGCAGAGCTGAAGTTAGTCGGGAATAGATGAGGGTCGCAGGAGGAGGACGGAGATGATGTCAGAGGGGCTGCAGCCACGGTGGTCTTCTGCTTCTTCTTCTTTGACGTCAAGTTCAACTTTTGAGCAGCTCTGAGGGGGAGAAGCAGTAACCTCCATTAAATGATTAAAATCAGACGTAAGAACTCACTGAATTTTATCTAAAAAACCTACATTTCACTATAGGACAACATAGGTTTAGTAATGGCATGAAGGTAATATTAATCTCTACACAAGTTTGATTTTTATTGTGTAGTTTCTCTAATTGCTGCAGAATTCTGCACATAAGCTTAAATGTACACATACACCACATCAGTTTTCTATTTTACATTTATTAAATTGGTTCATCTTCCCTTCACCCATAAACTTTAGAAAATGTATTAAAGAAATTATTTGTGTTCCAAATTATTGCCAGAAAATTAGCAAATTTAAAATACACAGGCAGTTTTTATCAAGTTTTGGGTGAGTTTCTCTGTACTTTGCTAAGAGCAATTTAATCAGATGTTATTAGTGGCATATACATTTTAACTTGCCTGTATAAAACTTATCCTATTTTGTTTAGAGAAAATCTACAATGAGTTCAAACTTCACTGCAAAAACACAAAATCTTACCAAGTATTTTCATCTAGTTTCTAGGGGAAATATCTGAGTGAACTTGAAATAAGGCAAAATTAACCTACAAGTAACTTTTCAGCAAGATATCAGCTTGTTTTATTCCTTAATATTGATGAAAAAAATAAAGTAAATGAAACAACCAGCCAGTGTCATTTTAAAGGGTAAATCTCTTAAAAATACTTGGTGAGATTTTGTTATTGGTGTCCTTTATACCCTGGCTTACTGTTAAATGCCACTGACATTGTATATATTTTTTCAACCTGAAAAGAAAACAGATTTATGACGGCATACTAGGGCTAAGGAAATGTTAATAAATAAAGTTATACAATAAAGTCATATAAGTGCAAAAAAAAGAGAATAAATTCATAGTAGCAGAACAAAGTCATGTTATGAGAATAAAGTCACAGTTTTGCAATAATAATCATAATATTTACTTTAAACTTGTAATATTATGACTTTTTCTCATAATTTTTTTTCTTAATTTACAGTTTAAATCTATATGATTAAAAGTTAAAAATTGATATTCATGAGTCAAATACAGAAATATGTCATTATGCCCAGCAGAGCCTGTGGATGGTAATAAATCAGAAGTGTTAACTCAGCAGTGGGTTTTGGGCATTGAATGTTTAATGCCCACTGCAGAGTACAAAGACAGAAAGATGTTATTTTATTCCTTGCACCAACTGTAACTACTTCCACATCCAGCTGCTCTATCACCAATTGAACTCAATGAAAGTCCACTAAAACAGCTGCAGCAGGGCTTCCTGCACAGCTCTGCTTTAACCCCCATATTTAATTTAGAGGACATGTAAGGAAGGAAGAGTGAGAGACCTTCTGCCCTGATGCACTCTCTGTCAAGAAGCTGTATTCTCACACCGTTGGCTTTCAATTAACTGCAGCAAGTTTCAGAAATGAGAGTGAGCGAGAGAGTCGGCAAAAGGAGAGTGGGAAAGAGGGGGAGAGGAAGGGAGATGTGAATCAACTGACCCGTGTTACGATGAAGCACTTCACCATTTGACCGGCTCTCCCTGGAGATTTGTGTGAATCCCTGTGTGTGTGTGTGTGTCTGACTGCACACAGCGTGAAACAAGCCTCCATGAGAAGACCACTAATTGGGTTTTTTTGAGTGTGCAGGCTAAGCTTACTCGCTTGAAATGCGATCAAAGGCAATTACAGGTTTGTATTATGTTGGTGTAATGTTCAAAACCTCCCCATGCATCATGTGAAGAAATTTATTGAAGTCTTTTGGTCTGATGCCAGATTGTATTGAAATCAGTTTACATGCTCCGTCTAATCACGGGAGTTTTTAAAGCATTGGTGAATTTATTTTCTCTATTCTGTGTTTCATTAATATTGTATGTGATTTCTGTGCTACCAATGAAATAAGGGGCTGCTGCAGTGCTGCTGATGGTTGCAGTAACAGGCATGACAATGATGGATTTGTTCACTCTGCTGCAGGGGATTCCTGCTTGTAACCTGCATGCATTTAATTTTTTTACGCGTTAGAATAATGCTTAGCTAGAATTCTTCACAGCTAAGCATACAAAAAAATGTATATCTTATCCTTCTTACAGTTTTCTGCTGGTGGGGAAACACTTGGGTTTCAGTTTCTGAAATGTTCCTCAGTGATTCAATCTTTGGATAAAATTCAAGCAACACTCAAACAATAGCTGGTAACTGGTGGTGTGGGATTTGGTTGAGCAAATCTATTTCAAACTAACAGTAAAGTGAACTGCAGTAGTTTGACATCAATTAGCTCATCAAATCATCAGCTCTTCTCTGTCCTTTTGTTCCTTCTTGGGCTCAACAGTCCTGAAACCCTTGGATTTCAGGACTGTTGAAATCATTATTTTTCCTCTCCATCCTTGCCTCTTCTTCGCTGCCCTCCATATATCCACTCATCCTTTTCGAAGAGCATCGATTCCTTCGCCTCTTCTTCTCCCCTCGTAGACTTCAGGTATCTGTCTGTTGTTGGAAAGCATCAGAGGTCAGCTGGTAACAAGATGCTGCTTTGTTTTCTTCCTCCTCTCCGCAAACACAAACAGCTCTGCTGATTGATGGCTGGTGTCTCCTGGCTGTGTTGTTGGTTCAGTGGTTAATTACTTTCTGTTTAGCAGGCCATCAATGGAAGAAGATGTGAGGGGAGACAGAGAGTGATGGTGGACATGAGGAAGGGAGCGTTTGTCTGTCGTATTCGGTCAGAATGGCTGTTTAGCATGACTTTCTTTACTGATATTATCTACTGACATGGACATGTGGCTAAAGAAATGAGCACATTTTGTTGAAAATGATAGGGATCACTGTTGTAGCTGACTGATATGGTTCTGTAAATTACAGGTTATTTCAAAGGCATGAGAAGATTCTGGATATTTCTAAAACAGTATTGCATTTGCATGGATTGCGAGGTCAGTGATTACATCGATGATCCCACTGATCCAAATAAGTTTTGAATAAAATTCCCTGCTGTTTCCACAAGAAAAAAGCAAATGCTTCCTGAATAATGAATAACAAGCAAAAAACAAAAAAGCCCTATATAAACACGTACCTAGGTTCTCTCTCGAGTTAAAAAAACAAAATCTTTCATGGCTGAATTTGGACTTTCGATGGCAAATGTTACTCCTCTGAGGTTCTGTCATCTCCGTTCCTCTCTCAGCTTGTGCCATTAACCCACATTTAGTCATTTGGCTTTTATTTTGGCGGGCCCACTTCCTGTGTTGTCCCAAAATCTCCAACTTCTTTAAAGCCGTGGGTCACAGGTCACTTCCTTGTCAGTCTCCACTGTGATTGCGGTGTGCTTTTTGATGCAATTCTTTGAATCTGCGTTTGTAAACTGAATAACCTGAATTTTTGGCACTGCTAGCTAGAGCGGTATTTTGCCATCAATGAACCCACCGGGCTATGCATTGAGGTCAGATTCACTTTGTTAAAGTCACTTTTTCGGGGGGAAAATTGAAAGCATATAGTGTGTTTACACCGATCGCATTACATGCGTAAAAAACGAATCCGACGCTTCAAGTTTGACGTGTTTGCACTATGATTGCAGACTCTTGATGTTTTGCACGCCTGGTGTACATCCAAAGTCTTTGTTGACGTGCGTCAATGGCGCGTCAGATGCATGAAAATTGATTTAGCCGTTGTTTTCCATTGCCAGCCTGTCAAACACTCCACATGCGTCCAATCGTGCCGCACTAGACGCATGAAACGCGCCTCCACACAGACTTTTGACGTAAACCAGATGCGCCTGACGCTCAAAACGCATTTTGAAACTACTTTCTCCTGTTTTCATTCAGGATGTTTTAAAGAAATCTCTTCTGATGCTGCTTTTGTGGCCACAGTTCATCTGCCTAACCTTGATGTGTTCTGTACAGTCAGCGTCAGCTACAACAGCTGCTTCTGTCTGCTTGAAAAACTCTAATTTCTGATTCATTCAGGTGTTTTTGTGGGTGTTTCCCCACTGTTCATTATCCCATAACAAATGGGATAGGAGTAAAACCTTCAAGTTGGTTACTTTGGAGGTAAAGTGGGAAAGCAAAACAACAAAAAGACACAATGATTGAAGCTAAATTAAGCAGAAGGTGCAACATTTATTTGCATGCTATGTGTTAGTAAAATGGCTTTTCTTGGTTATGTGAGCAAAACTCAAAACTAATGTGTACTTGATCTGATCAGATAACTCTGTTTTTTGTCCCATCTGGCTGGATCATCAATCCACCAATTTGTTGGGTAGCTAATTTGTTTTCATCCATCACTGGAGGAAACCGTTTTCCTTAAATAACACAAAAAAATGTCAGCAAGAAATGTAAAGGGTCAGAAAAAGGGACAGCAGCCTACATATCTCTGCCATCCTCCATCTAAAATAACGCCTTCCCAATTCACCGACTCACTTGGGGCCAATTCATTTACTCAGCTGCCTCATGCAGCACACACACAGCCAGCCAAATCCCCACAGATCCGATCCTCGGAGCGTGCAGTTAAAAAAATTCCTGCGCTGATAGAAACTCCCTTCCCCCTTGTGAGTAAGAGCATGCACACACCACAGCAAGTCTCTCTCCCAGTGTCCCCAGAGGGCCGCTGCGGCTCAGCAAAGATGTAGAGCTGCTGTGCAAGTGTGACATATTCCACAGACAGATCGCCACTAATGAAAGATATTACTCAGATATGCATTAGTGTGGAGGTAAAGGAAAGGTCAGTGTGGGAACAGACAAGGTGTGGGTGAAAGAGAGGAGAGAACAATGGGAAAGGAGGAGAGCAATTAAATGAAAACAGGAGAGCTGCATGCTGAGGAGAAAACAAGAAATGGAGATTGGCAGGGGAAGCAGAGGAGAAATAAAGGAAGACAGGGGATCAGGTGAGAGGACATGGAGTGGACACAGGGATTTGTCAGTGTGCAGAGAGCGAGCCCAGCGAAGATTGTGTTTGTATCTGGATGCAGCCCATTTTCTAAGAGTAAAGACCGAGACCTGCATGGGATTTATGATTTTACTTACTGTAAACAGGCTAATAGACAAATTCCCGCATCATCCCAACCAAAAATAAAAATACAACCAAGTGCACGTTTACCCAACTAAAAACATAAAATCTTACAATGACACAAGGGAGAAAAAACAGACACACATGAGTAGGTCTGAACTGGTTTAAGATTTTATTTTATGGTTATAGGAATTAAATCCATAACATTTTCCATACAGTTTGTCGTGTTTACATCCATTTTCTCTGAGAGAGATAAGTAGCACTCTAGCATTTTGAAAGCTGCCTGTCATCTGTGTTTAATGATCAAATTAGGGGATTTCTATCTCAATCTAGTTCTGGACATAAATCAATAACAATATATATCAATATACATAGATCAATATCAATAAAAACTATATCTGATAGAATTTTCAATAATTTCACTGAACCATGACCAGAACCGCACAGCATTCTGGGGGATGTAGGAAAGACTTTAGCCACTCAACCTCTCAAAGCAGCTAAGCAAGGTTGGTGAAATCAACCAACTTTCTTGCTCTTCAGTTACCTAGTAACAGCTTGTGGAGTACGTTTTGGTTACCCAGCAACAACCTGTTGAGTAGCTGGCGCAGCAGCAGTTCCAGGTTTTACCTCTGTGCTTTGTAACTGCTTAAAAATAAAACGATGAAATGGGAAAGGTTATGTCACTAGTTTGGCAGTATTTTAGATATTTAAAGAAAAAAAAAAAAGCACTACTCAATAATCGTCAACTGAAATGAAATTTTTACTTTGTGACACTTTTTTCAGCCTTACCATCCAGCCCTACCTCCACCTTATTCTTTTCATAAAAAGACAAAATGGAGTGTTTGGAAATCATAATCACTTCTGTATCAATACATTTTAACAGCATTGCTGTTCAAGCGAAAGCAGGAATGCTGAGCGAGAGACTCAGAATATGAGTCTGACTGTATGGTCAAAGACAGTAGACTCATATTCCACTACATGTCTGTACAACTCTGGACACTGTAATGGGAATCCACATGTTTAAGCAATCTTAGTTTTTTTAAAGCTCGTACAGCTGGATGTTTTTATAATGCAAACCAGATGTGTGTGTTTGTGTAAAACAGCCTTTGATATGTGACAGCTCAGGGGCCTGCAGCGGGGAAAGATCAAGACAGTGTGTGTGTGTTTAAGACTGTCCTTGTGTACTTTGGGGCAACATTATGTCTGCTACACTGGAGCGCAGCAGATATGAGACAAATGCATCTAATTATGTGAGGATGAACAGCAGAGAAGAGGTGTGAAAGCAACAAAGGGAAACCATCAGTGTCATTTAAAATGTGATTGGAAGCCGTTCATTGGTTATGATGGACCAGCGATTCTTCAGATACAGTGAATGAATAATTCATTTGTTCATTTTGAGTGTATCGTGTTTTTCATCAATGTTGTATCCATGTTATGTATGTCTTCATGTTATCTCACTAAGCATTTTTCCGGACTTGATTAGGTAGACGAATAATGACTTGTACCAAGAAATCATTGACTAATTTTGTTTTTTGTTGTTTTAATTCAACTTTTGTTTTTCCAGACTGACTGACATATGACTTACTGGAATCTGGTGTATTCAGTCTGATAGATTTAGGTCTGAAATGTCTTACTGTACCTGGCGAAGAAGGAGGCGGCTGCAGAAGTGGCAGTGGGTGCTGAGGTGGTGACAGCCGGCGTGTTGGACGGAGAGTTTGTGTGTGACGGAGAGTTTGCGCGTGCAGGGGAGTGAGAGTTGTAGCGGTTCAGGGCCGCTTCAGTCACTCCTTCTCTCGAAGCGTCAGAGATCATCTGGGAAATCTGAAACAAAGAGAAGGAGATTCTTAATGCTTCACAAAAACGAGAGCCATTTAGAGAAAAACAACAATTTTAAAGGTAATTATCGATAATATGCCCAAGTTGATGCATGCGCACTGTGGACAAGTTGCAGGTGGTAAATTAGCATTGAAGTTGCTTTTACTTATTTATCAAGTTTGAACATTTAGTCACTGCATTCACAAAGATGAGATCAAAACAGAGTAAATTGAAAAAGCTATTCTCCTGAATCGTCTCTTCCAAGCTGACATACAAGTTAGTTTAGATGAACATCTGTGTTCATCATGTTGAACATTTTTTACACACACTAGCTGATCTTTAGTCAGGTAAGTAAACTCATGTAGTTTTCTGCTGTGACCCTTTTTGAGGGAGATTAATTCAGTCCACATTCACAAATCCTCCAGTTCTTTTCGCTTCTGGAAAAGAAGTTAATCCTTTTGCGAACATTACGGCAACAACTTCTCCATTTAATAGCGTGTGTGTGTTATTAACAGTTGACTGACGGTATATAAACTGTGTATTGATCAGCAGCTGGTTGTTTCCAGATGTAGAGAAACAGAACAAAAAACAATCACAACGACCTCCTGGTTCGTCTGATATGACCCTTTGTTTAGTTTGCAACACATTTTAAAACACACAGAACGTTGTATTAAAATGTTCTGTGTGTTATGCAACGCAATAACCAGGCACACATAAAATTGTATCATCAACATATGTCTGAAAAATTAAGAAGAATGAAATACTGCAGTGATCCACAACCCAGATCCCCAGGAATCATCCTGCATGCTTAAATACGTCATCTGTCCATCGCAGCTGAGTCAAATGATGCATTCGAGTGTCTGCAGAAAAGCCTGTTAATGACCCGTTCATTTAAATCTGATGTATGCCAACGGACAGACATCTGGATCATACAGGATATGGGTCACTTTGGACCGGGGTTATGAACCCGGTAGCAGTACACTTTGCACTGACGGTTAAACAGCAAATTCTTTCTGCTAATGATGAATTGCTTGTAAAAGTTTTTCCAAGTCAAAGTACACTTTTAATAAGAAACATAAATCCACGTTCCCTTCATTGGTTGGACTCCCTTCCAAAACCATTTGAAAGTAAGAAGCTTAAGCCTTTCTGCAGGGCGTGTTTCTAAATGTACCTGTGTAGGATTAATATAAAGTACGGCCAAAGGATCTTCAGACTGAAGTAATAAATGTCTCCCTCTCTTCCTGACCACATGTCACACACACACACACACACACACACACACACACACACACACTGAATAACGTGCTGCTTCTCTTGTGTGTTCAGGTGAATCGTTTATGGATTATTGATTACTACTCTTTATGGTCTGTCTAATACCAGACAGCAGAGCACCTGAATTATATCCAAATACTTCGGTGGAGGGACTCTGTGTGGGTTGTGTGTCTTTCTTTGTGTCCTTGTGTGGCTCAGCGTCTCCACTTCTCTACATCGGTGTGTAAATCAGCTCAGCTTGACGTGTATTTACTGCAGAGGCTCCTGGGGTCGACCAGGCTGCCCACTGCTTGATAGATGGCCTGTTGTAAATAAAATCCCTGTGCAGTTTGTATACAAATAAAACACTTTGTGCTTTTACTATATTCAAATGCTCACAGTGCACTGTAAAAACATTTAGTTGTCTACCGTCTTCTGCTCTTTAAGTCAAATAAATTGAGCAGGTTTCAAGTTTTGAACCTAAATGTGTGAGTTTGTAAAAGGTGAATTATGTTAACTTTTATATTAAAGAGTTGAATAAACTAGAGTTTTTAGGTTAGCACTTAAAATACTGACAGTAGAAAAAGACAGGAGCGGGAACTATTTCCCAGAATGCTTAGCGGCTTGTCTTTGTATCCTGAGATGAAAGTGCATTACGTTGATCTGAGTCTGGTGTAAAGTTTGCAAAGCTTGAGGATAACGTGTTCACACTAAATGTTTTTAGCAGAATTCATTGTGATGTTTAATAAAATTGTCAGATGTGAAATTTTGTTCATGCAATTTGAAACAATAATTTAAATTATTGTTCTAAAGTAAAATAAGTAGGCATTTCAACGTGCAAATAATAGAGAAATGTGGCTCTTTAAGTAAGTAAGTACAGTTTTGTGAAATAATAATTTGGTTTAAATTGCAGCATTAAGTTAACACTCACAATTCAAGATTAAAGAACTTAAAAAGCATTTTTAGACAACCTGTCTCTTGTTAAATCAACTTCATAAACTTTAATTTCTGAGTTGGAACCAAAACAATTTTCTTGTTGACTTAAGTTACATTTTTAGCAGGGCTTTCATTTTCAAGTTAAGCTACCTGCAAATGTTTTACAGTGCAGATATGAAGTGTATGCATTAAAATTACTGTTAAGCAAATTTTGCTTGAACGCCGAAAAGAAGCTGTGAAATCTAAAATAATTGATTGTTTCTGTACAAATAACTAGCAAACTATTCAAACTGCATGCAGGTTTCTGCCTGAGAAGCCACGGTAATAATTTAGATGGATGTCTGGCTTTTCATGCCCCAAATATTAATCCTAAACCTGCCAGATTTAGGATTAATATTATTTTCATTCGGCAAAGAAGTTTGTTTGTGATGGAAATGAGACAGGTATTTCCAACCAGATTATAAAATACTGTAAAACAACTTTCAGTTTAAAAAAAAGAGCATTTTTATAAAAATTAGCATGCAAAAGAGGATCTAGAAACTTCCCAATAACCAGTGGAAAAACAATAAAACCCTTCTAATAATTCCAGTTGGGGGTTTTTCTTGTACATTAACCATTTATTTTTGGTGTTAATCTGCAACTCTCTCCACAGGCTCAGATTAAAGTCTGGACTCTGACTCATTAGTGCCTATCAGTAGAAAATATTGCTCCAATTAAAATTTTATTTTAAATCTAAAACGTCCGGGGTATGAATACTTTAGGGTTTTGGTGGATTTCTTAACTTTTAATAGCTGAAAAGTTTCCTATTACTGCTTTACATCAATATTTATAATTTTCACCACATGATGGTAGATTAAAGGTTAAACCAGAAGAAATTACTAAATAAATCCGATTTTTTTCCACTCAAAAATCCTAGTTTAAACCTAGAACATTCTTAATATGGCGCAAGCCGATGTGTTACTGAGCTACAATGTTTATCCTGCATTTTCCCCTGGACTAATCTGGATACAGTGTGGCTCTGCAGAAATACAAACTACATGCCTTTTTCTGGTTGCAATCTGAAGAAGACATTATAACCACACCAGGAGCTTAGAGAGAGAGAGAGGAATTAAACACAGTGATGCTTTAAGCTGAATGTAAATTCATACACAGTGCTCTCTGCAGCTACTGTAGTCATCGAGCAAGTTCTGCATTAACCAGTCATTTGGTTCAGGCATTTTGAAGGAATGCATGAAAAAGTTGTATTAAAGAGCAACAGACCACTTTACTAAAGAATTTTTATAAGATTTCTAAATATTGGATAATAAAATTTTACCTTTTCATCATGTATATTAGGTTGTAAATGAACTGTTTATTTTTCATGAGATGTAAAAATCTGTTTTATTTTAGTAATAAATTCTTAATAAGCTCTTCATCAACCGTTGCTCTCATTCATCATGTCCAGGACTGACAACAGTAAGATTTTTACCACATTTTCTGTCTAATTTAATTTCTTCAGCACAGAAACTGCTTGAATAAATTGTTTAAATTTGTCTTGTAATGTACATCTGGTTTCGAACCCAAACAATTCTTGCTATCCGTTGTTTTGCTGATGTGTGAGTTTGTTGTTGCTAATGGAAATGCCGGCAGTCAGTAAGTGTAGAAAAGAGCGAGTATTAACCGCACATCTGTCCTTGGTTTGCCTTTTTTGTGCCAGAAGAAATACAGTAAATCTTTCAAAACATATTAGAGGTTATTATCTGTTCTCTCAGGACCGATTTCTCTGGTTACAAGAGCTTGTAGTGAGCAGCAGAAAAGCTTTTGTATTGATTTCTAAATAAATGGTCGGTAGGTATAAAAGTACAAAATCACTAAGACTTTTTTGTGTGCAAAAAAAATAAGCAGTAATATACCCAATATATCCAGATGCATGTTGGAATCTCACTGCAGATTCATTACATATATTTTATGTGTTTATCTTAATATTGAAGATCATAAAAAATGAAAAGTCAGATACTAAAACAATTTAAATTTGACCTAAAAATGATTTCTAACTCAAAAATTTGCTTCTGGCAACTTTGCTTGTTTCCTTTAAGGAATATTCACCCAGAACTTGCCCAGGGCTCCTTTTGCTTCAATGCAGAAATTATTTATTTACATCATGGAAGTAATCAGCCTGTGACTTTGCTGAGGGGCTCAGATTGCTTACTGGTGTTACTGGTGAACTACACCAACACCAGTAGCATCCCATATTTTACAGCTCTGGAGTGGGTTTAAAACGGCTCCATTTTATTACATTTAAATCAGTTTTTTTACACTTTTGTAATGTACTGGTTACTAAAACCAGATTTTAGAGGAATTTTCACTTTTATAGCCTGGGTTTTCACAAAGAAACCTTGTTGGAGCAATGCCACAACCAGAGAATATAAAATGATTTACTCATTAAAGTCTGTTTGTCTTCATGAGGTCATTAAGGTTGTTCCTTTCAGATTTCCCCACAGGAAAGGCTGAGCTGCTGTCTATATCTTCCGGTAAATTGGGTTACACACTGGATGAAACTTTAATGATTCACATGAGGAAATGTAGCAGCAGCAGAGAAGCACCAGAAACAATGGAGACGTAAGGAAACACAGGGCCAAACGTAGCGAAAATAATGAGCTCAAAAACAAAGCGGATGAGGAGAGTTTCACTGGTCAGCTGGTCCAGAGATTGGCTGGGATTTGATGAAATTCATGAAGGATTTCTAGGGGAAGTAAAGCTGGTTTTAAAAACCCAAAAACATAGATCCTGACAGTCTTCCTTTTACAGGACATCGTTCATCCATGCTTGTGGTAAGAATGCCCTCATTTATCTTCATAACAACATGGCCGCCATTTCCTGCAGCATTTGCTCTCCACCTGTCTCTGGATGATGATAAAGCAGGCCTGTTTGGGTGTCTAAATGCAGGAAGACAAGAAACTGTCACTTTTTTCAGAATAAATTTTTGTGAAGGTGGGAGCAAATAAAAAAACAGATAAATGAAAAATTATATTTGTATGATCTGATAGCCTATAGTCCTGGTTCCTTTAATTTACAGTTACCAATAATTATCAAACTTGAAGCATACTGCATGTAGATTTGTATTATTGTATTAGTTTTTTTTATAGAAAAATAAATGTTAACTGCATATTTATTTGTGGCTTCACTTATTCCAGGTCATACAAACCAGATGTTTAACAAAGTCAGGATGTACCTTGCATTGCTCCTATTGCTGCAATAGGAGCAATGCAATAGTTCCAGGAGCAATAGTTATAAATCACCCCTGAATTGTAGGGGCAACTTCTTCCACCCTCTAGTGTGATCATAAAGCTCCTAATAAACAAAAACTATGTTGGTTGCTGTCTCTCACACAGCTGACACAGCAAAATTTTATTATGAGTTCTGGCTGCAAACAGCAGGGATCCTTGAGTAGATTAGAAAAACACATCTTCAGAATGTTACTACTTTATATCCATCAGTCCCACAATTTGGGTTTATTTTTTTTCTGTTTTGCTACAGAGTTGAGACGTTTCCAAGGTGTTTGGTTTGTTTGTTTATTTTTTTATCTGCAGTTGTAAAACTACCTGAACATTATGCTCATATGGTATTTTTGCACTTCCAAATGTCGAATGCATCATGGAGAAGCCAAGAGATATAAGCTGCAAAACTAGGGTTGGAAATTCAAATTGCATTAAATCCCTCAGAAGCAGCTCTTCACTGCCTCCATTTCAAGCCTCCTCTTCGTCCTCCTTTTCTTCACCGCAAATCTCTCATATCCTCGTCTTTCCTCAGGATTCCCACCTTTTGATCACCTCTCGACTCATCGCCTCCCCCTCCTCGAGCGGAGTGATTTATCATCGCGTTCCTTTTTTCCTGCTGAAACACCATTACTGTCAAAGTCACAATGGAGACACACGAGCGCCCTTCAACGTTTCAATGGACGCCAAATACATGAACAACGCATTGAGAAAAGTCAGAGTGAGGAATTAAACCAAAAATACTAAGTTAAAAATAAAGCGTCTGAGATGGAGACCAGTGGGACCAGAATTGGGCTTTTTCAGTGACCATCCAAAGTAAACTCTGAACTACGTGTCCATATGATAAGAAAGAGAAAATGTTAAAGCAGAGGGAGAAAAAGAGACGAGAATAAGTATAGAGGGAATGTAAAAGAGTGAAAGGGTACTGAGGCTGTGTGTCATAGAGTCCCCAGAGTTCTAATTATCACTGTATGAATTATTACATCTGTAACTTTTGGATCTCCCCTGGAGTCTCAGCTGCTGCCTCCACCCATAAACACCTCTAGACCACCCTTCACTCCAGGCCATTTCTCCCTCCTGCCTCCCTCTCCTTTATCCCCGCTCCCTCTCTTCCTGTCTCAGCCGAAAACATCTATGTGCTCCACTAGTCATTTCGAGTCTTTCAAGTCACTTGAAAGCTTTAATCTAAGTGGAGAGGCCTTTAAATGTGATTGCAAAATCAGAACGCTTGAAGTTTTTATTCACTTTTTTAGTTTTTTACCAGCTCTACTCATACAAATGTATTTAAGTTGTATATTTCAACTATGTTTAACAGCTATTGGTTTGTAGTTTTAGGGTTATTTATTGTATTTTATTCAATGTATAGGGACAGAAGCTGCTGGACTGATGTAAACCAACAACTTGATTTTCTCTCGTTGGAATAAATACAGTGAACCTGAGCATGTCTGTCCTGAAGTCAACCTGCTGAGACAAACAGAGGCGTTACACTATGTCATTATCAATATATTAATTGAAAATTGTTTCAAAACAACAATTTTATACAAATTTCTGCAACATTTGTAATCATGACAGGCCTGCATTGTAGTTTTTCCTGTTTATGCTGCTCACATCAATCATTTGGCCACATTAATGTATGTTTCCGTAGTAAGAATGTTAATGTGTTCATTAGAAAGGGTTTATGTGTGAAGGAGAAGCTGATGCCTCCAAACACAAACCTACATGTGTGAGCGCCTTACCTGGTATGGATACAGAGTGACTCCTCCATTGGTCCGGTTCTGGTGCTGATGGGCCTGCAGAGCTGCTGCGCTCAGAACCGCTCCCCCACCGTTGTTACTGGGACTGCTTACGCCGCTCACTGGTTGCTGCTGGGAACCCGCTTTCCCAGAGCTGGGGGAGCCATTCCTTCGGTCCAACCCCGCTCCCAGACCCAAGGAGCTGGGTTTGGATCCCAGTCTGTGTCCTGATCCTTGGAGCTGTTGACTTATGGGACCACAGCTGGACGTTTGCGGCCCTGAGGGACTCCCTTGACTGGGGGTGGACTGTCCATGGATCGGGCTTGGTGTCGGGGTCTGACTGGGGCTCGGAGAAGGAGACTGCGAAGATGAGTGAGGAGTGTATGAAGCCGTCACAGAAGAGGACGGGAGAACCGGAACTCCTGGCGGTCCCGAGGCGCCTGCTGGTCCTGAAGGTCCATGAGATCCGTATCGAGCTGGAGGCGAGGAAGTGGGAGACAGATCCCACTGATCCAGGGTGAGGACCATGCGCACAGCTTCCTGTTTGAGCTGAGTGAGGTGAGTGGCGCAGACATCGCAGCGACTGTCGCGCTCGTTCCACGCACGCCGAGAACTGTTGGGCACCTGAAGCTTGTCGTGGAGGAGGAGTGAGAAGGACGGATCCTGGAGGAGAGATGAAGACCAACCTGTTATACTTCATCAAACAGGTTAGGACAGGTCTATTCAAGACATGGACACTGAGATTCTAGTCAGATCAGTTCTGATTGCTTCAGAATGAGATGTTTTAGGGCCAGATATGCTGCCTCTGGCCATGGCCCCCCAAACTTTTACATTCACACTCAACATGGCTGCAAACATATACACAAATATACATCTTTGAAAAGCATTAGTAGAGCCTCCTACACAGCAAATTGCTTCTGAATAGTTGGTCAACAACAAAACACTTGTCTTTTCCAGCAGCCATTGTACAGCACATACAAACCAACTGACCAAACATACTGGAGCTCCAACTAGGTTGCTTGGTGACGACCTGGGCTTGACTGGGGTTGCTAAGTAACAGCACAGTGGCAGTAGAATGTCACTTAACAATTAAGAAGTTTATGAAATGACTAATTTTCTAGACACCAAAAAACATTAACTTAGTGCCAAGTTAGTGTTTTTTTAAGTGCTCAAACTGTGTTTAGAATAAGTTGAGACTCAAATGGAAGCATAAAATGAAAACGAATGGTGTAATAATTGAACGGCTAATTATATAGAACCAAATATGGTGGTAATTACTAAGAAAAGATAAAATATTTTGTCAAAATGATAAAAGTAATAAAAACTCTAGAAAAGCATTTTTTGCATGTATGCTTCTAAATATGAAAAACGTTCTCATTTAGAGATGTTCTGCTTATTACCTTCATATATTTAAAATAAACTAAAACATAAAGGACGAAGCAACCACTCATATTTAGAAAATACACAAATATGCATGTTTAACTGTTGTTATTTCAGATACTTTCATATTAAATGAACTCAAAATGCATACCAAACATTTCTGTACGTTTTCTTTAAGGCTGTGATGTGTTATTTTAAATATTGTTTTCATTGACTGTAAGTGGAAAATCATTTTAATTAACAGAAATGAAGGCTTAAAAACTTAATTAATCTACCCACATAATGGGTTACACTCAAAGAACTGAGTTAATGAAATAAGTTAAAATTCCAATTATATTCTAATTTATTGATTGGATGTGTGACCTGAAGACATAAAACAACATTCAGACTCTGCAAAAAGACACATTTTCTTCCATAAAAAGCCATTAAAAGCCGTGTATTACAGAGGAAGTTCCCTGAAAAAGGTGACATTTCTTCTTCTGTCGTCCTCAAGCATGTTTTACCTTTTCCAGAACAGATTCAACAACACTAGTTTTGTAATCATCGGGTTAGATGAGTGGAACGTGAAAATTAATTCTTAGGCATTTTAAGGTTTACTTTTCCATCTCCTATTCTTTTTCGTCAAAATCCAGCTGCTCCTGGTTCTGGTTCTGGTTCTGGTCTGCTCTGCTCTGCAGAACCAGAATCAAACATGGAGAAGCAGAATTCAGCTTCTATGCACCACAAATCTGGAACAGACTCCCAGAAATATGCAAAAATACTGAGTTCCTTTAGATGATTTGTTTGATCTGCCTTCGATTAATAACAACTGGACCTTGAGTATTTATTGATGGTAACTTTTATTATCATATAAAGCATGTTGAATTGCCCTGTTGCTCAAATGTGTCATCAAAATAAACTGAACATATGAGGCAATATAAGAAACGATGTGATGGCAGCTTAAAGAGCTCTGGAAAAGCCAGTTGGATTTATTTACCTTTGATGTTACCTTGCTATGGATTATAGAGCTGCTATCCTCTTTTAAAGAAACATGAGAGCACTGTGTGCCTTTTAGTTCATGTTTATGGATTTAAAATGAGGAGGGAGGGATTCTGTGTTGCTGCAGAGATGTTTGTTTGGTCCACTGGTGAGGATTTCCACTAACTGATGTTAGTTTGGACTGAATTTGAAGGCAATCTTACTGGATAAAAATATCTGATGTCACGCTATACAAGCTGTTCAAACTGAACAACATTCAATGCATAAAGGGATGAAAAAGTCCAGAAAGATTTGCAAACTGGATTTGAACATTAAGATTTGGCAGTGGATGAAAAATTACCTGCTGTGTGCAGGTAAACAAACTGCACAAACTAAGTGAAGTTTGTGCTTTTGCAGAATTAATCTTAAAGCAAATGAGATTCAGAATCTGCATGTTAACCTTTGCAGATCAAACTGATTGAGGCAAAAATAAGTATCTACAGTAAATCTGAAAAGTATGCATGTTGCAAAAATTGTTTATAAAGCCCCACAACTGTGACTGTGCAAGTAAAATAATGCCCAAAATGCAACCTTTGTAGAAATGTTATAATATATACATCTTTTTTCAAAGATTGTAAGCTAAGTAGCTAAACATTACGCCGCAGCTTGACTTGCAGTTTTTTTGGAGGGGCTTTGCTGGTGGTAATTCTGTCTTGTAGCACCTCATTTATGTAAATAAACGTAATGCACCTTTAGTGAGCTCATGGATTTGCACTAAAGGAAGCAGTCGATAGTGGTAGTAAAGTGTGGGCTGAGCGTGCAGAATCTGTGTTTCCAGACTAATTGGAACCACTTGTCCTGAACAAAGCTGCTCTAAATCTCCTGCCGTCCCTTTTTGGGCTAAATCTCCAAGTTAACAAGCAAAAGCACAAACACAGATACGAATCACAGTCCGAACCTTTCTGATCTCAGTGAAAAAATATTTTTGTTGCAATTTCCACAAAGCATTAAAAGCTTATCTGACAAAACTCACTGAGTAGAAACATGTTTTTTATTTAAAAATAGAAATGCTGATGACTGTAAAGTATTATATAACTGTAGATGGGTTTGCAGTGAGTCTTATAATAATTGTGTTCCTAAATCATCAAACTGTTTCTTGCAAAAGTATTTGCACCTTTTATGCTACAACTTCAAAGGCATTTTTTAAATATTTTTCTCATCTAAACTTCATTTTACTGAAGAACCATATTCCCCAAACCTTGAATTTATTTCCATTCTTCATCTTGTTCACATTAAAACCTTTTCAAAGTGCCTGAATGAGCTGAGATCGCTGCGGTTCAGTCTAGGAGCGCAGGAAAGAATCTGCAGAGTGAGATGTTAATCAAAGTGATGTGTTGGCTCTGTCTGTTCATTGACTTTTAATCAATACATGAGTTATAACCACACTGAGCTCATGTGTGTATATGTGAGCCTGTGATAGACGTTTCCCAGCAGAACCAAACAGGCAGATATGAGGACGCAGAGACGGATGATTGACAGAAAAACACAGCAAAACCTTGAGAGAAGTAGATGTGATTTATTAAGCCTCCGCTCGTCTGGAGTCGCATTTTTCTGTTCGTTTGCTCCACTATTCGTTTATTTGCTACGTCATCCAATCGGCTGAAAGAGCAGCTTATAGTCTCTGAATGAATGAGTCTCTCTCACTAAAAATATCTACTTTTTCCCTATCAATGCAGCCAGTTGTCCATGTCTGAGTGCTTATGTGGATACAAAGCAACACTTCATCTAATCGTAAAATACCCCTTCTTAATGTGAGAGCCGCCTCCTCGCCTATATAAACAAACCACACAACCACAAGATACACACACACACACACACAGCAGGACCCTCAGTGTGTGTGTGGGCGGGTGGTGTTTAGAGATAAAGAGCACCTTGTAGTATGTGCAAACCAGTCAAAACAGTAGTCTGGTAGGAGGAAGACTGAGGTCAAACCTGGTGCTAGATGTACCAGATATCTTGATTTTTGTTTGGAAAAGTTTTCATTCAAGCATCTAAATATATTCCCATTGGAGTAAGAGAAGCGCCGTGTCACCGAGTTTCTATTTCCACATGATGGTTTGGACAGATTTTAGTTACATGAATCGTGCAGCTCAGTGTGATGGACTGGATTTTATTCACAGGTGTCAGAATACAGATGTGGGATTTTCAACGTTTTTATTTGTAAAAGGTGCGTGAATATTTATGCAGTCGACTTGTCAGAGGAAATGGAGCTGAAGCAGAGCTGGTCGCTGAACATTTAATCTCATTGGGATCCTTTTGACCCCTCTGTGACCCTGAAGCATAGTCCATTAAACACATACCGGATTAAAGCCAATAACCTAAAACTGAGTGGAAACCCTGTTTTAGATGCAATCAAGCAGTTTAAATAAAGAAAATATACTGTGAATATTATTTAAACATTTACTCTTTGTGAATATGAAGAAAAAATACAGTATCATGTCAAAGGAGTGGAAGTGTGAAGCTATCAATATTCCCACTCCTTCTTTACCTGCATAATCTTACAGTTACTACATGTATAATCCCTACACATAACAATTAAACCAACACATTTTTTGTCTTTTGATTCAGTTTCTAATTTTTCTTCAGAGTTATACCTCTTTATTTGATCATAACCTCATGTTTCCGTGGATTAAAGTTTCCCTCATCCACACACATCTTTTCTGCCAGGAGATTCAGTCCAAGCACTCAGAAAACAATAGTACACTAGCAGATGGACAAAGTTTTAGTTTTTTTCTGGTTTCGTCACATCTTTTAATGAGCTTATGGTTACATAATCATGTCTGGATGTTGCTGTCATAGTCTCTGCAGTCACATCTATCCATCTCTTCAAGCTTCGCCAACGAGTTTATCAGTATTCTGTGAGTGACTCAATCAGTGTTAGCAGCGCTGCAGACTGGCAGTGTGTGTGTGTGTGTGTGTGTGTGTGTGTGTGTGTGATTCATTTCCTCCTGCAAGGGTAAACACAGCCAGAACAGCAAAGATGGAGTGACAAAAAAAGAGAGAGCAGCTTCCAAGCTGACTGAACAGTGACCTAACTGACTCTTTGTGTGTGTGTGTGTGTGTGTGTGTGTGTGTGTGTGGGGGGGTGTGTGTGTGTGTGTGTGTGTGTGTGTGGGTGTGTGTGTGTGTGTTTAGGGGTGTGTAGGTGTGTAAGTGTGTGGCGGCTGGAGAAGGACGCAGACAGACGCCATTACTGAGATCTGATGGGAAAAGACAACTTGGTGCTATTTGCTCTCTCATTTCTTTATGTGTGCATGGAAAGGACT